TGTGATATTTATTTGTTAGATAGTACAACATCTCTGTAACTGTTTGTGTGATATTTATTTGTTAGATAGTACAACATCTCTGTAACTGTTTGTGTGATATTTATTTGTTAGATAGTACAACATCTCTGTAACTATGTTTGTGTGATATTTATTTGTTAGATAGTACAACATCTCTGTAACTATGTTTGTGTAATATTTATTTGTTAGATAGTACAACATCTCTGTAACTATGTTTGTGTGATATTTATTTGTTAGATAGTACAACATCTCTAACTATGTTTGTGTGATATTTATTTGTTAGTTAGATAGTACAACATCTCTGTAACTGTTTGTATGATGTTTATTTGTTAGATAGTACAACATCTCTGTAACTGTTTTTGTGATATTTATTTGTTAGATAGTACAACATCTCTGTAACTATGTTTTTGTGATATTTATTTGTTAGTTAGATAGTACAACATCTCTATAACTATGTTTGTATGATGTTTATTTGTTAGATAGTGCAACATCTCTGTAACTGTTTTTGTGATATTTATTTGTTAGATAGTACAACATCTCTGTAACTATGTTTTTGTGATATTTATTTGTTAGTTAGATAGTACAACATCTCTGTAACTATGTTTGTATGATGTTTATTTGTTAGTTGGATAGTGCAACATCTCTGATTCAAGCAGCGAAGAATCTCATGAATGCTGTAGTTCTTACTGTAAAAGCTTCATATGTAGCATCTACCAAGGTAAGCCATTTAATTCCAAAGAGTACAAGATTTACTACTGTTATACAGCTAGACAGCAAATTTAGTAAAAAAAAATACTTATAGATGTATTTCATTTAATTTTATAGACAATGATACTTGTTGAAACCACCCAATAGGTTACATAAAGTTTATCGTTTGTTTGTTTTTTAAGAATATTTTTAATAAACAGTGACTTCTTTTTCACATAAAATTTACATTTGCCTTTTTTGTAATGTTATTGGTATACAGAGTTGGTGGATTACACCAACCTTGTATAACCACAAACAATAATGAGAGTGTCCCTACTATAACTTTTAATATGTTTTGTATATCTTCACAAAATTTGGCAAGCTTTCATAAACATTACAAGTCTTTTGTACACAAACAAATCAGATTTTTAACTAACCCTTTTGGTGCAGTTGTTGACTAGTGTTTATGCATAAAGTTGGGTTGGCGACATTTGTTAACATAACAGCCTACTGCCTGTTTGGTTAAAACATTGTGTCATTTGTTTTTTAATGTCAAATAGCCTCTAATGATAATCACATAATGAAAATATCATTCTACTAGACTAAAAATGCCAAACGTAAAGATAATCATATATCAAACACGTGATTCTAGTAGCTATAGAATGCCAAATCTAATGATAATCATATATCAAACATGTGATTCTGGTAGCTATAGAATGCCAAATCTAATGATAATCATATATCAAACACTTGATTCTGGTAGCTATAGTGTGTTTGATACAAGATTATCATTAGGTTTGTCATTCTATAGCTACCAGAATCATATGTTTGATACATGATTATCATTAGATTTGTCATTCTTAGTCTAGAAAAATTGTGTGTTTGATATTAGATTATCATTAGGTTTGTCATTCTATAGCTACCAGAATCATATGTCTGATACATGATTATCAATAGATTTGTCATTCTTAGTCTAGAAAAATTGTGTTTGATACAAGATTATCATTAGGTTCGTCATTCTATAGCTACCAGAATCATATGTTTGATACATTTTTATCATTAGATTTGTCATTCTTAGTCTAGAAAAATTGTGTGTTTGATACAAGATTATCATTAGGTTTGTCATTCTATAGCTACCAGAATCATATGTTTGATATATGATTATCATTAGATTTGGCATTCAATTTTTCTAGACTAAGAATGACAAATCTAATGATAATCATATATCAAACATATGATTCTGGTAGCTATAGAATGACAAACCTAATAATAATCTTGTATCAAACACGTGATTCTGGTAGCTATAGAATGACAAACCTAATAATAATCTTGTATCAAACACACGATTCTGCTGCTAGATGAAGAATGCCAAATCTTGTTAAAAAATACATGGACCACAAATGTTGTTTCTTTACCAGGAAGGCATTAAATATCATAATAAATCTTTAGCTGTACAGTTTGAGTGTTAGGTTTACAGTAAACAAGCATTTTTTGTTTTTGTTTTTTTCAAAGAATTCACTGCACAATGTCAATCTTACTAAAGACATGATGAAAAAAGGAAAGTAATGTATGCATTTAGTTTTTATTTCCAGTGTTTTATGTATAAGGCTATTTCTGTAAACCACTTTAACCTTAAAACAATCTTCAAAATTTATCCTAAATTAGTTGATTTTTTTTATGATATTCTCATGTGATTTCCTGAACCCTTTTAAATAACTTGCTCCTTTCTGTGGTCATCACCTATGAAGAAAATCAATACTTACCAATATCACTTTTTCAGTTGTGTTTATGTTAATTCATAACTTATTTATTAGAAAAATGAAAATTAACATTCTGGCAAAGCATGATTATAATTGTATTTGTCATAAGATGTAAGTGTTAGGTTTATTATGTTCTGACTACTACAGTGTTTGTTGTATCCCAGCTAGCCTGAAGTTCTCTGGATTGAGTGAAATGAGCCATCAGCATTAATATAGTGAATATAGTGTGGTTGGAATGCTATTATTATTATACATTTTTCTAATTCTTGAGATTTTATAAGGGACTAGAAAAAGAATGTAGTGTTTCAAAACACAATAGACCTAACACCAATATCTTATTACAAGTATAATGATAAATAACAGAAATATGTTTCTTTTGCAGAACTTTAATTCTTTCCATACAAGCGGGTCAAAGTGCACATATCACAACTTTTTACAGGATTACATTCAAAATTTAATTAAACTACTTTATTATCAATGTGTATGAATGAATTTGGCATCAAAATGTAGTTAAGAAATCAACTTTAATATTATATAAGTTTAATTTCTTAGTTTCAAAAGCAGATATTTAAATAAGTACTCAATCTCCCCTTGTCTGCATAATGTGACATTTGTTTGCTCCAACTTGCCCATTTTTCATCACCCCTATATGATGTCCTGAGTTGAGCATAGGTTACTAATTATGGTATAGATATTATTAAAACGTTCAAATTTTTATAGCCTTTAATCTTTGTTTATGGAGATATAAAGCAGCAAGTCAGAACCACTTGCCATCACATTATCTCTGACATTTTGATATTACGTTATTTATAACCAATAGAAAGACAGTTTTAATTTACCAAATAACAGGATAATGCTACCTTGTTCACAGTATAGTTTTTAGGTATTTTACCTTAAGATTCAAAGTTATTATCACCAGTTTCAGATTAAGCACTTATTTATGCCATAAATAGAAACCCAGTTAAATTTTAATAGTTATAGGGCATTGTTTGTTTTGTGTATATTATTAATTTGTGTTCTTGAGTGCATATGTGGAATAAATAAAAATTATTTAATGCACTAGTACCATCATAAAAAATAAAAAAGTAGGCTTAAGTTACATTGGCAGGCCAACAGCAAAGAAACAAGAGGCAAATGTAAGTACTAGATTTTCTCATGTATATTTTTAATTACTGTTATAAAAGTAACTAAAATTTAAAAATTAGAAACTTTTAGGTTAGGTAATGAAAGAAAAATGTCAATTTTATTGACTAAATCTTAACAGAAATTATTTTTTTTAACCCACATGTAGCTTTGTTAGAAAGCCAGGTAAATTAAAGTGGTTTTATGTGTATCGTTAGAGTAATTTGATAATTTTTTTGTTTTCTAAAATGCATTTTTTAAATCTACAAAAAAACTGTCTTTCACCCTACACTTCAGAGAATAAATGAGGCTTAGCAAGTACAGTACGTGAGCACGAATCAATTTTGTAACATCATAAGTACTAGAAATCAGTTTTTGTATATATTTTTTATTTATTGTTCTATGTTTTAAGATAAATAACTAAAAATTAAAAATCTCTGAATAAATAGTAATAATGTATATATACATGTCATAAGCACATACAAATTTTGCACACCTATGCCACTAAATTCAGACCACCTAGGGAGGATAACTAACATCCAAATACCTACGAAGTTTATTAGATTGGCCCAGACTTTGTACAGAGCCATATCATAAACGTTTTCTCACACTTTCATTACTTAAGACAATTCTCCTTGCATCCATTTTACTGTAAACAAGCTGATAAATCCTCTCTCACTGTGTTCTTGGAGCCAGGACTGCAATAAATTCTGTGGGAATTTTGGCTTATTGCAACCACACATGTTTGCTATTGATGATGTCGTATTATGGTGTCACATAAACGTGGTCTAGTGGAAGGAGCAGTGATTCATTGCTTTATGTATGGCAGGTTTTTACTTCAACGGTTAGCAGTAACATAAATGTAGGAAATATATGTTAAAAGGTTAGAAGTAGAAACTCTCAGGAGAAGTACCTTGGAACTTTATATGTTAAAAGGTTAGAAGTAGAAACTCTCGGGGGAAGTACCTTGGAACTTTCTGGTCAATACTGAAAAGGATAGAACAGTTATACTCATTTTGTTTCAAATTTTTTAGGGCTGGTTGCAAGTTTGGTCAAACTGACTGAATATATATATAAAATTAACGTAAAGAAAATAACATAAGATATAAAGTTTTAGTTTTAAAAAAAGTGTTTTAGTCTTAAATTGCAAACCTCTCTGCATTCTGATCAATCAATACTGACTCCATGTGTTCACAGACAAATGTTTAGTAAAAAACTTATTTAAAAATTCAGATTTTTTTGTCCAAAAGACTGGTAATGTTTACTAAAAACTTGAAAAATTTCATGAAGATTTAAAAACATATTAAAAGTTTCAGTATGGATACTCTGATGGTTATTTTGGGGCCACGTGGCTGGTGTGATTCACTGAGGCATTAGCAATAGGGTTAATCTCAATATGAAAATCTCCTTGCACTTAGACTATTCTGAGTCTTAATGACACTCTAACTCCATATATTCACAGACAAATATTTAGTAAAAATACATAATTAAAAAATCTGACTTTTTGTGTATAAAAGATTTGTAATGTTTACTAAAAGCTTGCCAAACTTTCTGAAAATACACTTACTAGATTAAATGTATATTATGTATACTTTCATGGTTACCTGGTTGTTCGCAAGGTCTGTCAAAATGACCAAGCTTGTGTTGATAGAGTTAATCTGAGTATCAAATATTTAACACCAACTTAAAATTAGTTAATTATGTTTTACAGATTTTTGTAGATCTGTGTATATGATTGGAGAAAAGGTCTCACACCCAAGTTTTTGTACATGAAGGATCCTTATGCAGCGCCAGATTATCTATGAGGCTCTATATAACTGTTGTTTTAATGTCATTATCAAGGCTAGATTAAGGAGGGGGTAAATAGGTGCGCTTGACCCAGGTTCCCCCAATCAAAAGGGCCTCCAAATAAGAGAAAAATGAAGAAAATTAATCAAAAACTGGAAGTCTATATGAAAACTATTTGCATCATTATGACAACAAAAACTTTTGTTATTTCATATGTAATTTTTTATTAACATGTTCTTAAATTTCTTTCATAAATAGTTGCTCCATCATTTAACAAACAAATTTATTGTCATCACTTTATTAGAATATTTGAGGTAGTATTTTGTGTACAATCTGCCCATCACCTATGTTTATGTATTGCTAAAACTCTTGTTAATATACAAAATTGAATTGTATTTCACGTATTAATGAAGTTTTGCCAAGAACCCTCCACCCTATGTTCTTAATCTGGCCCTAATCATTGTTGTATGTTAACAGACATATGACATTCAACATAAATAGGGATTAGTTAAAAGGTATTGTTGAATTATATATATATATATATATTATTAATCATTTTTGAATCAAATAAAATAACAGGCAAAAGGTTTAAAGAAAAAAGTGAATCGAATGCTTATGAATATTTGGTTTATAAACCTGTTTTTAAACATTTTTACGTTTTTTTTACAGTATCCCAGAAGTGCAAGAGTTAGTGTAAGTATTATTTTTTATTACAGTAACCATTCAACAAATATTGATTTCCTAATAAAGAAATTAACATTAATGGTTGTAGAAAATATTTTTATTAGTAAAACCGCTGTAAGTGCAAATGTAATCAAAATGTTTTTTTGATTTATAACTTTATTAAGTCGTTGAAGACCATGGTATAAAATAATTTTCCTCACCCTTTAGCATATACAAATTATAATTCATCATATAGCCTGTAACATTTACCAAAGATGTCTTTACATTCTTATTCATCTGGACTTGTCACTAAAAGAATGAAAATGGTCATCACAATCAGTAGATGTGGGCAGTTATTGAGATTTACTAATCACTTATTCTCACTAGAGAATTGAAAAGCAGAAATAATCTAAAATAATAATAATAATTGTAAAACTTAGTTGAATTAGTTCAATATTCTGGTGCATAAAGTCAAAAGTCAATAGAGTTGAACAATCTAGAATTAATTTAAAATAAAAATGAGAAATAAATATGGCAATACTTTGTGAATACTTGGGTAGTTGTAATAACCAGAAACACTAATTTTAATTTGTTGATTGTTTTTATGATATTAATCAATTGTCATTTCAATTAATCGATTATTTTACATGGCAGTAACCAATATATTCGATGCTTGTAGATAATTAAACAGCTTTAATGACCAGCAAGGGCAGCCTTGCATCATTGATGCATGCTTAAAATCAAAATTGATAAAGTATCCTCTGTCACCCCTCTGAGAGAGCTGTTTGAGTCATCTAGTAGCATGCAGTGGGTCTCCTAGAAGCATTCAGTACATAGTCAATGGAAATAAAGTACATTATGAATCCCAAAGTTCATGTTACCACTTCGGGGGTCACACCTGTGACTAGTGCTACGTCTCAGGCCTCTGGTGCGGGCAACCCAGCTGGGGATTTATCCACGTTTATACTCCGGGAGATTGAACGTAACATGGGTCAACTTCCATCTCCAGATCTTGCCCCCCACTTCCTCCCAAACCAGCTGACCCTGTTCAGTTGGACGAGGACTTGGAGTGCCTATTTTTACCTCCTGATTTTGCTGTGCCTTCCCATGCCCTGCCTGAGGAGTCAGCTAGGACTAATATGGTATTTTTTATTTCTTTTCTCAGGTATATGATGTTTTATTCCTTTCCCCTATTTCCTATGAACTGCATCTTTCCTTACTACATGACCAATCTTCGCATTCCTATTTGGTTTTTCACCCCCTCCCCATGGGTTTCACATCAATTTGCTCTTGCATATTATCGTGCAGACTGTCCTTTTCTGGACCAACAATTGTTAGATTGCATTTTGCTTGTTTGGGGTTCAACCCCCGAATCTGTTGTAAGTCTGACTAATGCTCAATTTTCCCATCTTCGTCTTACCCTCACAACTCTTTCATGGTATCTCTCTACCATCCATCTCCTCCCTGAGGCTCTCCACCGAAATCCTGAGGGGTTTTCTGTGGACATACTCTCCCTTCTTTCCTCCATGTTGGCTATACTTGTTTCCTTCCCTCCGTCTTGGGATCCCATGACCAGCATATGTTGGAGGTGGTGTTCAGGATCTACTATCTCAGAAGGCCGTCAGACCTGTTCTATATCCTTCACCAGGTTTTTATTCCAGACTTGTTGTTCCCAAGAAAACTGGGGACTGGAGACCTATCATTGATTTCCCCCACCTCAATCGTTTCTTTCAACTGCCCCATTTTACCATGGAGTCATTTCTCACCTTACGGTGAACGTTTTCTCTGGGCTTATGGATGTCAGTAATGCTTATCTCCATCCCTATATCACCACGGTCTCTTCCATATTTTTGGTTCTATATCCTTCACCAGGTTTTTATTCCAGACTCATTGTTTCCAAGAAAACTGGGGACTGGAGACCTATCATCAATTTCCTCCATCTCAATCGCTTCGTTCAACTGCCCCATTTTACCATGGAGTTATTTCTCACCTTACGGTGAACGTTTTCTCTGGGCTCATAGATGACCAAGATGGATGTCAGTAATGCTTATTTCCACATCCCTATATCACCACGGTCTCTTCCGTATCCTTGGTTCATCCATCACGGGGTGGTTTATCAATTTTGCACACTACCCTTTGGCTTGCTTCTGCACCTCATGTTTTCTGTTGGATGGTCAGAGCTTTCACTCACCATCAAAATGCTCTGGGGTTGTTATTCCACCATTATATGGATGACTGTCTTCTTCTGGCTCATTCAGAACTGGAGTCACCAGCCATACCCGTCAGCTCCATCTATTTGGCTACTTAGATGGGCTGGTTAATCAAATTGGACAAGTCCTTCTTTCAACCTTTTCCTCTACAACTTTGTTCCATGAAACTGTTAGTTTGTCATGCCCTTTCAGCTCCATTACTTTCTGCTTGTGAGGTTCTATCGCTTTTTGAGATGTGGTCTTCAATGATGTCACTGGGCCCTCCTTGGTGGTGTGCATATGCAATCCCTTCAGTGAAATCTTCACGATCAATAGAACCTTGATTGAAATCCCTTGTAATTTCCCATTACCCTTCCTCCTAATTTGCACTGGTAGTTTGACAAGGCCCATACTTTGGCGGACATCCCGCTTCCTCCTCCTCGTCTGGATTTACATCTTTTCACGCACACATCTCTTCATGGCTGGGGTGCATGGGTCAATCACCAGGAGACTTCGGGTCATTGGTCTGTAGATGAAAGTTCTTTGTACATCAACATTCTCGAGCTTTTTGCAAACTGTCAGACTTTGAATCACTTCCTTCCTCTTGTTAGACATTATCTAGTGATGATTCATTCTGACAGTTCTATGATAGTAGCACATATCAATCACCAAGTGTGCATCCAGTCGAGAGATCTCTGTTTTTGAACATTTGATCTACTATATTGGGCCCACACATGCCATATTCATCTCATGCAGGTCACATTCTGGGTGCTTTCAATCTTGTAGCAGATCGTCTTTCCCACCTTGACCAAATTTATCCAACTGGGTGGCTTTTAGATCCCCTTGTTTTCCGGTAGCTTTGCAATGGGTGGGATTTTCCCCACGTAAATGCATTTGCCACATACATCGATCACAAATTCTCCCTCTTCTGGGCCCTGGTACCTCATCCTTAGGTTCTTGCTGTCGATGCCTTCAGCCAGAATTGGTCCCACAAATTCTTTTATGTTTATCCTCCTATCTGATTACTTCATTGGGTGATCCCTCTCATCAAGTCCTTCTTATCGTTCCTTATTGGCCAGCTCAACTATGGTTTCCACGATTACGACAACTGTAACTTTCCCTCCAGTACGTCTTCTTTTGTCTCCTTTCCTTTTTCGGTCACTGGTTCTACATCCAGCCATTCATGTCCTTTGTCTTCATGCCTGGTTTCTCCCATCGAGTAGCTTTCCTTTTATCTCATCTTCAGTGGAGGTGTATCAGCACAAATTGAAAGTGTTCCACAGTTGATCTGTGACTCAGGAATTCCCCACTGTTGCTCGAGTGGTGGAGTTTTTTCGACTGGGGGGTCCTCAGTCTCCTCACTCTTAGGTTATCAGGCTGCCTTATACCATACTTTTCATTTTTTACCATACCATTGAGTTTTTGCTTCTCCTGTCTTTACCATGTTAATGCATTCCTTTCAGATTCGTCCTCCCCCAGATGGCCTACTCTTCTGAACTGGGATATTAACATGGTCCTCCATTCCCTCGCTTTACCTCCATTTGAACCACTTTCCTTGTGTTCCATGTTTCACCTTTCCCTTAAAACGTATTTTCTTCTTCTCTTAGCCTGTGGACGTCAAAGGTCTGATCTGTTTGCCACTGACGTTTCACGTATGCTTTACCACCCTACCTATCTTCTCCTTTATCCAAATCAATCCTTCCTCCCAAAGACCTCAGTGGCTAGGGAGGGTAACTCCTCCTTTTCACCTATTTCCCTTCCTTCTATTTCTCATCTCTACCCTCGTCGTGATCCGGATAGACTTCTATGTTTGGTCTGTACTTTTCGTTGTTATATTGTCCACATGGCTTCCTTCCATAGTACCTGTTCCTGACTCTTTATCCATTGACAATTTTCTGTTTGGGATCTTTCCCCTTCTACCCTCATAAGTAAATCCCTTTTTTAACTGTTGTCTGGAACAGCAACATTAGTAAAACCCTTTTCTAACTTTTATGCAACAACAAGCATAAGTAAAACCCTCCTTTAACTGTTGTCTAAAAGAAAAACATAAGTAAACCCCTCCTTTAACTGTTGTCTGGAACAGCAACATAAGTAAAACTCTTCTTTAACTGTTGTATGGAACAGCAAACATAAGTAAAACTCTTCTTTAACTGTTGTATGGAACAGCAAACATAAGTAAATCTCTTCTTTAACTGTTGTATGGAACAGCAAACATAAGTAAATCCCTTTATTACTGTTGTATGGAACAGCAAACATAAGTAAATCCCTTTGTTACTATTGTATGGAACAGCAAACATAAGAAAATCCCTTTATTACTGTTGTATCGAACAGCAAACATAAGAAAAAACCCTTCTTTAACTATTGTCTGGAAGAGTAACATATGTAAATCCTTTTATTACTGTTGTCTGGAACAGCAAACATAAGATAAAAAACTTTTTTAACTGTTGTCTGGAAGAGTAACATAAGTAAAACCCTTATTCGTAACTGGAAATTAACACTAGTCTTTTTTCATAGTTTTTACCATGACAAATTCGTTAGTTGCAAATTGCTAAAATATTCTTGAATACGGTTGTGGTGTCCCATTTCTAGTACGTTTAGTAATTTTCATAAATTATGACAAAAGTGATACTCAAAATTGTGGAAAATTTCTAATGAAAATAAGTTCAGATATACAAGTGTATGTGAGAACCTCTGTAAGTAACTTGGTGCTGGTTTCTTAATATGAGTAACCTCCATTCTATGCAAGTGGATGAAAACTTTCGACATAGTAACTGGAGCCTGACAAGTGGCAGAAGCAATGGTTGTTGTGTGTCTAACAGAAATTTTGAACACAATATAAAGAACAAAGTTTGAATGATGGTGATTAAAGAAAACAGTTCAAATCTCTGCGTAAAGTTGGTGACAAACTAATAGACATTTTTAAAATTGTAAAAGTGCTTATGAAAGCTAAGAAATGGAAAAGAAATGAACTTTAATTTGTGGCTAAAAGTGGTGTTATGACAATTTAGTGTCTTTCTTGTAAAAAAAAGTGGGGGGGGGATGTTGATGTGATGAAAGTAAAGCAATTAAATCAACCAGTGGAATGGAAATGTTAACAATTCCACTTCCACCAGTGATACTAATATTGAAGAGCCCTTTTGTACAAACTTTGTAGTTACAAAAGCTTATTCAAAGCAGAAATTTTGGGTAGTTTAAGAACAGTTGCATAACATTATTATCATTGTTCTTGTGAGAGAACAAACATATATTTCCAAATGTACAAAACATGCCAAGAGAAGAATAAACATGCATACACAATCTTGTACAATAACAGAAACATGTTCACTCTTCTCTTGGTACTATATACATTTCTGTTATTATACAAGATGTGCCAAGAGAAGAGTGAACATGTATATACATTTCTGTTAGTATAACTTTTGGAAACTTTCCAATTTTGTTGTTGGGATATAGAGAAATAGCCGTTTTTAAAACAAAGACACTGTCTTGCATGACCATTATTTATGCCGTTAACAATGAATAATACATACTTGTGAGTATGTTGTTTCTTTTTACAAAAACAGTTTAGAAGTCTAAGTTTTGTAATTTAAATTAATAATAGAAAGTAAGTTGTATTAATTTTTTAATGTTAATTAGAAAAATTAGTTTCTGAAAATTGTTGTGTGTTCTTTAGTCCCCTATTGTGGTGTGGAAGATGAAAGCTCCTGAAAAAAAGCCACTGGTGCGGAGAGAGAAACCAGAGGAAGTCAGAGCAAAGGTGCGTAAAGGATCACAGAAGAAACACATAGCTCCTATTAAAGCCCTCAGTGAATTTCATACTTCGGCTGATTCTGTATGAAGAGTTAGGATTCTAGGCTAGAAAGAAAAAGGTGGAGGAGGCACACCAACATCTACACCTAGTGTGGAACTTCCTAAAAGCTCTATAAAAGCTTTAGTTTTTATATTTTGTGGAATTCATAGTAGCAGTTTAAATCTTCTGACATTTGTTAATTGTTCTGTTTTTTATCTTTAATATGGTTGACATATAGTAATGTTTAATTATGTGTATGGCTGCTAGTTTATTTTGAAACTCAAATAAAATCTACGTGCGTCTTTGTTCAAAGCTTAAACTAAGACTTAAGTAATTTTGTTAGAGACAAAATTTATATTTTTTCTGTTATTTTATTTGTGAATATATGTATATTTCATAGCAGCATTTGAAATTTTAAGTGTATTCGTACAATATTATAGAAGGATCACTCTCAAACAGAAAGTGCTTTGTTGTTAAAGTTATTTTGATGTATCAATGTCTTTGTTTAAGAGCATCAAAAACTATTTCAAATGTTTATGTAATAAAATTTGAGTGCCTGATAAATGAAAGGAAATTAGGCAAAAAAAAATTTTTCTAAACGTAAGCTTAAATAAGTGTGAATGTAACTGCCAATATTACAGCTATCGTCTGTTACTTGGTTTCTACTCATATCTGTATTAACATATCTACTCGTCTGTTGTCCGTTAGGTTTGTAGAAGTTACTTATGTTCTATGTGTTTGGTTATATATACAATCTTGAAACAAAGTAGCAGATTTTCTACCTAACATGATGACGTTATTATTCATTCTGTTAAATGTTTTTATTGTTTTACTTAAGTACTCTGATTAGTAAAGCTATAAAACAAAGTATTTGAATTTAATTCTTCTTCTGGGTAAATGTTTAGAAACATATAAGTGTCAGAATTTCAGACCTTACATGATTTCTTATTGAGTGTGCAGTATTCAAGCATTTTAAAACTTTTATTCTTGGAGGGAGAGGTATATTTACCTGCTCACAGTCAATATACCCCCATATGCATTTCCAAAATCACTTTTTTTGTTTTTTGGTAAACACTGTGTCTTTAACTTGTTCTATGCCAAGATAGTAATATCTTTTTACCTTATTAAGTTGCCATCATGGTCTTGAAAAAAAATCAAATATACCTTTGTTGCATTAGACTTGGGTAATATGTTCTTGAATTCAGTTTGATGTTCTCTGACTAGAAAACCAGAACACTCACAACAGTTCTAAAGATGATAATAGTGTTAACGTAGTAGATTACTTTCCTAAATGATACTTACACTTGTAAGATAGATAATTATACTTTAGTATTTACAGAAACAAAAATCTAGATGAAAGTTAGCTGTTTAGGTTGTGGTCTTCTTCTCGATTAGTATTCTTGTTTAAAATAGATCATCTTAACTCAATACTTTACAATCCCCTGGTGGAACAGCAGTAAATCTAAGGATTTACAGTGCTAAAGTTAGGGGATTGGATTAATCTAGGTGAACATAGCAGATGGCCCAAGGTGGCTTTGCTGTAAAAATGAACACACACCCAATAGTTTACAGAAAAAGATAAGTCTACATCAAGCTGAGATTTTATTAGTTTCTTTCAGCCTAAGAATAAAATTTTTGTAAAGTAATTTAGAAACTGGTGTAAGAACTTACAAATAGTGTTTGTGTTCTGTATAATCTGTATTTCTTTATGATAAATATTTACACATTTGGTGTATTAGTGTAAAAATATGAATGTTTTGTATGTTGTGGTGGTAGTCTTACTATCAAGTAGTCAAAGTTGTAGAATTGTGGTAAGGAAACTTGTTTTTGAATGTGAAAAGTATTTTAAAACCTTATGATTCAAAGTTAAGAGGTTTACCTTAACCTCCAAAGAAAGTAAAAATTTGTGATGAAAGAACTTGTAATAGATTCTAACTCCTTGGTATCAAATTTTGAACTAAAAATTTCTTTATGTAAGTGATGACCCAGGTTCTTCTGTTAAAGAGTTATCCAAGCACGTAACAATAATTTTTAAGTTTTACATATGAAAGAAAGCATGAAATTTTGATTATGTTGGATGTCCTATATAAACACATGTATGTTGTCCATTCATCCATCCATTATCAAGCATGTTTTTTTCAATTTTTTTTAATGGTCTTTATGGAGAATTCATGCAGAAGAGTGAACTATTGTCTATAACAATTGAACTTGAGGACTAAAAGATGATACAGCTTTGATTGAAATTTCTCACCAAACAAAGTAAAGAACAGCCCCTCCTGCACTTTAAACAAATACTAATTTGGGGTAGGAATTTTAGTTTTGTCTTTCTAAACGAATTAAAGTAACTGCTTGAAAGTTCAAAGTGTGTATTTTAAAGGACAGCTGTAACAATTAGTGTTAAAACAGTGTGGAATAAGTATGCAGTGTTTTTAACATAAAATCTCATGTATTTATTGATTACACCTGGTGGGAATTATACTAACCTGTGTGGTAAGACTAATGATATCCTAAATTTTCTCTTGGTCATCTTCTGAAATTAATTTATTGTGATGATTTTACAAGTATGGGTGACTTTTTGTGATGTTTTTAATAAAAACAAAATGTTGCCTAAATAATAGTATAAGTATCTAATTAGGATTTTATATTTGAAAGTATTGTAATCTGAGCTTATAACAAGGCTTAACAAATAGTACTATATATGTTGTAAAACCAGTCAATGGATTTTATTTAAATATCGGGTTTCTTTGCATCCTTTAAATTTAAATCACCAATATGCTTATAAATAACTTTTCAGTTGTTGAGCATTATGGAGATTAGCATTTTAAAAGTTAAAATTTATACAATCTCATGGTTTGTGGCCTTTGTTTGACCTATTTCATGAATATTTTTAGTTCTCAGATAGCTGTGTTACAAGAGCATTTATGTTTATAAACACTAGCAGGAGGGTCGACCAATGTAAAAAAAGTGAATTGTTTTGTGATATTTTTAATATATTTTAATGAGCTTAAAATAAACATATTATTGAAACCTCACTAAAAATTTGGTATTAATTTATCCATTATCATTGTAAGTAATGTTACTGGTGATACATGTTACAACAGCCAGCTATATCAAGTATTGTAAGAATTCTTTATAAAACACAAATCTGATTTAATGACTTTACACAGCTTGTGAGCATTTAAACTCGATAATCATTTCACGTATTGGCAGTTTCAGATCTGCCTACTGCTACGTAAAATGCTCTCCAGCTACAGGCATTTTGAAATAGGTACAGCAACTATGGGATCATATGGTGTACCTTGTTCAAAGTATTCACTTCAGGTGAAGTCCTCCTTGCACACATGCCTGTAAGTTCTGTTGCTCTACTGAGCATGCACATACTTTCCATGGTAAGCAAGGCACTAGCCATAGCAAGTCAAGTCCAAGTTCTCAAGGGCTGCCTGCAAGTGATCATGACACAAAGGGAGTGGCGAGGACAGCTAACCATGTACATTGATCTGTGTTGTATTGGGGAATACATTCACACACCTCTCCTAAGAAAGATGGTTTCTCTGCTACTGATAAGTTCCCGTTCGCTACCAAAAATCAACCAGTTGATAGGTGAATGCTACCAAGAGCAAACTTTACAGGTAGACAGGGCTGCAATTTATATTAATAGAATCTGAAGATACAAGAAAATGGGTAAAACTGCCAAAAGAAGAGTTATGGGGTCAACATTTTAACCCAAAGATCTGTATGTGTATCTAAAATGGTCACGTGGCCCATGCACTAATGTTAACCATTTCTTTGTAAGCTCTAATAGAAATAAATTACACTATTAAATTTTGTGAAAATTAGTTATAAGAAACCTGAAGAATTGAGGTTATACTTTGTAAATCATTAATAAATAAAACTCGTGTTTACAGTGGCAAGTGAGTTTCATCTTTATTAACATATGCTTGAACTAGGTAACAAATTATGAATGTATCCTTTTAATTAAATAAACTTGAATAGGTAGACTTACTAAATAAGGCAAGTCATTACTTTCCAAGGCTCAATATAAAGTATGCAATTTTTTTTTTTTTTTGATCACACAAAATGATCAAAGTAAATTATTATGAAGCTTATTATAAAAAGTAGTTAATAAATTAACAGCAAGTTAATTATAGCCATAATAAAGGTTGGAGTAGGAAAAGAAAAACTGTAACCAGAATCTAAAGTAAAAGACAGTACTTGTTTTCTTTCTCTCTCTCCCTATATATATATATATGTATATATTGTGTTTTCAATCGTCAAATGTCTTTAAAGTATTAAAAACATCTCAAGGATATCCATTTAATTCAGCATTTCTGTTTAAAATTTATAACTGGGAAATTGATTTTGTAACTTTTGCTTGTGTTTTATATTAGCCTATTACTTTACAATTTTAATATTTAGTGTTGTAAAAAAACTGTTAGCATGTCTCCCATCTTGTGCAGAACAGATCAAGCGAGATGATCTCTTGTTTAGCATTTAAATATGAAGTGAAAAGAGCAAGACTGGGGAGAAAAGAAAGTAACTTAAACCATGAATTTTGTGCATACTTCTTTGTGATTTTGTTATTCAGTTGCTTGAGTCCGTATTTCATTTAATATGATGCTTCCAACACATGTATGTGAAAGTTGCTATATGTGTTAAAACTGGAATATTTTTATACAATTTTTTGTGGTTCTCTTTTCCCATTGGCCAATCTGAATTAAGTGCCTCATAGAAATGGCTTTCATTACATGATGTATCTCAGTTCAACAGCACAATCACAATAAATGCAAAAAAAAACAATTTAAGTCTGTTTCTTTGGAAAACATTTTATATACAATTTTATAAATATGTATCAAAACTACTGGTTTTGGCTTTTGATGTACTTGGCTCCATTTCTTTTTCATATTCAATCTCTACGTGTGGTCTCTTCCTTTTGATAACAGGTGGTCTCTTAGGATGCTCATCTTCACTTGATGTGGAAGTGTCTGTCTGATAGTTTTGGCCCCAGTCCTACAAAGTCAAACAAGTCTTTTGATAGATAGAAACATATTTTTCTTCCTTTACTGTTTACATGACTTACCCCTATCACCACAGGTATCCTTTATGGTGCATGACACAAGGTTTTAGTGTCTTACATTCAAATTTTATTAAACTACTTTTTGTTTATGTTATAGCAATTAGTATAGCATAAAATCTAAGCTAATAATCCATATTTTAATAGTGTATAAGTTTTAAGTTCTTAATTCTACATGGCAATATTTAAAAAACAAAATCCCGAATTTCCCCTAGTGTGACACATTTTCTCTAGACATCTTCTCTATTTTATCCCATCCCTTAATTACTCACTATAAAATCATCATTGCCAAGGCAAACCATAATTTTTATAGCCTTCAATTTTGTTTGGTTACAGAGCTATCAAATAGAAAATCATACCCACCTGTCACATCCTCTCTTTCAGGATTTGTTAATAGTTCTCTCTTACGTTTAATTATATATTACCTATAACCAACAGAAAGCCAAGGTTTTCATCTATCAAATGATGTATTGTATAACATTGTGTTGTGAACAGACAATCGTCAACTTCACTCTGAGTACAAGCTTCATTCCCATGGTAAAGCTAACAAACAGCTTAGATAAATTTGTAATGGCTCTTGTCACATAGTTAGAAAAAATTTTGAGAGTTAGGGGAAATTGTCTACTTTTTGCATGTTATTAGTCTATGTTCTTTGGTGCATTACTACCATTAGTATAAAAAAGTAGGGTTAGGTGTCATTGACAGAAAGAAAAATTAAGATAGGGAAAACTTTATTTGTTTTTCTTTACTTATTAACATAAAGTAACTAAAATGTAAAAATAGGGATCTTTTTAGGTTAGTTAAAATTAGGTAAAATGAAAGATATTAATAGTATAATAAAAATGATTCATGAGGCATGCACCTGAGCAGCTCGAAGTAGCTCATGGATAATGTAATTCGATAGCATAATGTGAGCTGCACGTTCCCAGAGTGATTTACAAATTATAATAACACGGATAGAAGTAAGACACAGTTCAAAGGACAATAAAATATAATTATAAATAGATGTATATTGTTACAAACTTAAAGCTACTTAGGATAAATGTAGTTTATGTTACAATTTGAAGTCATTCTAGAAAGAAAAAAAAGGAGTAATTTAGATTTATTTCGATTGTTAAGAAGTCAGTCAAATTGACCGATCCCTTATAGTGATAGGGTAGAGAAAATCACAGATAAAATATAAATTGTTACTGAAAACAAACATTTGAAATGTATTTAGGGGGTTTTGGGGATTATACAAAGGAAATTTGAGATTTCTGAGATAAGGAAAATTATTTTTAATCTTAACGTGAAAATCACTTTGCACACAAACTATTCAAAACAAATACTTGATATATTCATGGACAAATATTTATTTTAGTTTATTAAAAATACTTCACTAAAAATATGATTTTTTCTATGTGAAAGACTTATAATGTTAACTGAAAGACTGACAAATTTTGTGAAGACATACACACTATATTGAAAGTTAGAAGTATTAAATCTATAGACTTTAAAACGAGTACAAAGAGGTCACGTGGTCGGTCAAATTGACCAATCCCATGTTGAGATAGTTAAAACACAACATGAAAAGTAAAATCTATCTTTGTTGATGTTGGAGAATTGCTATAAAAAGCATTACTTAAACAACCACATTACATAAACTTACTTCAATATCTGAGGGTTCACTTTCTTCAATATCATCAGCTGCAACATACTCTACAGTCTCTTCATTCTGCAGTATATGAAAAAAAAATCTACAAAGTCCCAAAACTACACACTTAACAGGTTATTCTATCACATAAAATTAACTCAATAACTTAAGTATTAATGTACTCCTTATAGTGCTAAGAACAGAATGTATATGAAACGAGAGCATATAAACACAATCCATTTTTTGTTCATTTTTATAATAAAGATAATCCACCCAAAAACCAGCTCCACTTTGTTTACATACTTAAAACTAGAGAAAGTCAAGCTACTGAATTCTGTCCTTATATTTGTAGTTCACCCTTGGCCCAAGTACTACTGCTTTTCAGCAAACATGCTTTTATTTATGTATGATACAATTTGATTACACCTGGAAGGCTGTGTTCTGATCTTTTCAAGTAAACATTTTTTTAACATGATCCTCAATATGTTTTTTTCAGATCTGAGCTGGCAATTTCCATATTTGGATATCATTAGTTTGAAACCGGGAAGTGAACATTGATATGCTAACAAATACTCCACTACATCCTTTCTTGTCAATTTAGATATCTTCAGACTTGATATCCATGGGAATTTAATTGTACAAAGTATAACCCACACAATAAGTTCTCTACCACAATCTTTCATAGTCAAGTTATTTACTAGCCTTCCTCAAGACTGAGAATAAAACAACTCTTATCACAAAAATTGTGAACAATTACTATTAAGATACCAGCAAAATATTGCTAAGCATTTCTTATATCCAGTTGTGGTATGAATATCCCACTCCTTCCAAAATATCACATTCATGGAGAGCATGCTGCATAGACCTCACAGGTAGAAGCTATTCACACTGGATGCAGTAGACACTAAGGGTTTTTATTTAATGCAATGAAGCATTTTTCATAATTCTAAAAGATGAATGTTTCTCATGCTCCATTTTTGTCTAATTTGACCATATTCACACAAACACCATTAATATGGCCCACCAAATGATGAGTTTCTGTTTCTCTGGAAACTTCACTAACCACATTAATATCATGTTAACCAGAGCTACCAAAGTAATGAAGTTGCAGAAGGAAGAACATGGTACACCTGTTTATAAGACTTGACATGGGATGTTCTTCATTCACTCCCATCAAAGCTCTTTTATACCTCAGAAGCATTGCAGAACACGAATAGTGCTTGGAGTTTAAAAACCATAAATTCCATCGTCAAGATTTTGCCCTTTTCAATTGGAACATTACAATTCCACAGACATCAATTAAGCAGGGGATTGGTGACAAAGCAACTAAGGAGACATTCCTGGGTGGACAGATGATATATAGTCACCATCAGATCTCAAATACCCTGATATAGAATAAACATGGAACCACTGGAAAATCAGAAATTGGGCAGAGAGTGAAGCAAAAAAAAAAGCCTTACAGAACTTATTTTAAACCATGGTAACCTGTCACCATATCCACAAAGAATTCCTACACCACATGAGGTAGTTGAATATTCATTGTCTCATGGAACAACAACATTCTAAGTAAGGCTGATGGAGCGTTTAAGCTTCCCACAAGCAACACATGATGGAGGTGGACCTTGAAAGCAGAGGATGCAAACAGACCACCAAAATAATATTTGACTGACTCACAGGCAGAACTTTGTAAAATTCAGAGTGGCTGGATGGCAAAAAGCAACTACATGGTACAAACTTCACCTGCTTGTATGTGCCAGACAATGCATGGGTTAAGCTAAGCAAGGAAGCTGACAAGCTTCAAGATAAGCCCCTATAAGAAATCTAGCATAACTTTGTGCATAAGATGTCAATCTCTTCTGTACTAGTAAGGTGAAAATGGGCCCCATGGATGGTCTTTGTTCATGTTCAGAAGGAATGGCACTGCTGAAAACAAAGTACTATATGTTTTACCTAAGCAAAGCAAAAGATGGGTAACCATAAAACAATATACAGCCAGGAGCCACTGGTAAAACCAGTAAAGGAACTCTTCTTTTGTCAATACATCTCCTGGGACTGTTACCTAGTGCACAATTAAATTTAGCTATAAACAATAAACTGACCATGATACAATGATTACATATTAATCATCCACTGTTGTATTTAATTTACTGTTATTCTCTCTCAACACAAGCTCGGTCAATTTGACCAACCTCATGACCTCTTTGTACTCCTTTAAAGTCTTTATAGATTTAATACTTCTAACTTTCAATATAGTGTGTATATCTTCACAAAATTTGGCAGTCTTTCAGTTAATATTATAAGTCTTTCACATAGAAAAAAATCATATTTTTAGTGAAGTATTTTTAATAAAATAAAATAAAGATTTGCCCATGAATATATTGAATAGTCCGTGTGCAAAGTAATTTTCATGTTAAAATTAAAAATACTTTTCATCTCAAAAAATCTTAAATTTCCTTTGTGCAATCCATAAAGCCTCCTAAATGTATTTCAAACGTTTTTTTTCAGTAAAACTTTATAGTTTATCTATTATTTTCTTTACCCT